AGACTAGCTAAGCGATCCAGGGATTTCATTCCATTCGTATCACGTGACTAGCTGTGCTAGACAGGGCGACCGGTCGCGCGGTCTTGCAGCGACAGGGCGACTGGGCTAGCAAGCTAGCACAGGAACATGAAGGTTCTATATAAGACTGGCACGTCTGCCATTAGATAGGAGCTTCGTGCTCAACTTAGTTATCAATCTTATCATATTAGTTTGACATCTTTGATAAAAGTAACGAGTTCACTTCCAAGTGAACAACCCGATAGTCTTCTTCTTATCATAGCATACCAACCAGCGAACACCCAGCCAAGTTTAGTTAGCCAGTTTGAGTATTCGTTACACTTATATGTATACTTTATTTCTTTAAATAACTAGAATAATAAATCTTATAATAAGTAATTTAAAAATTATAATATTTTACTTTTATATTATAAAGTTATTCTTAAATTTATTCTTTAATTATAATAGAATAATAAATCTCATAATAAGTAATATAAATAATTTAATAATTTACTTTTATATTATAGCTCGCTTTTAAAATCAATTTTCTAAATATAATAGAATAATAAATATTATAATAAGTTATTTAAATATTTAAATATTTTAATATTTTACTTTTATATAAAAGAGTTCTCTTAAAGCTTCTTCTTTAAATAGAATAGAATAATCTATATAGAAATAAATAGATAAAATACTAATTAATATTTCTACTTATTATATATTATACTTTAAATCTTATTACTTTTATAAGATAACCTAATTTACTTTTGAACGTATACTAAAGATATTAAATACTAATACACCTTACTATATATCATAATTAAAGTTATATTCTTTAAATTATATAGAATAATTAGTCTTTTTTTAAGTAATCTAGATACTATTTTAAAGTATAAATGAAAAAGATATATTAATATTAATTTCTAAAACTCTTTTAAATACTTATTACTAAAACTTAATAAATTAATTTATATATAAAAACATACTATTAATAATATCCAATTTACTAGTTTATTAAATATTTGTTTTTAAAGGTAGTTAGGAGAAATAACTAAGAGAATATAGTTATAAAGGTATAAACAAATCTTATATTCTACTATTATATTATAAAGACTTAGATTATAAAAACAAGGTTTTATATTTAAATTTAAATATACTTAGACTTATAAATAATACTTAAATAGCTAAATAAGTTAGATATAACTATATAATAAATCTATTATATATATATTCTATATAATATAAAGTTATTAGTCTAAAATTATAAGTAATATCTATTACTCTTAGTAGTTAATAATTAAATCTTTATTTATTAATTAAAGGTTTATATTAGATATTTTTAATAAAATTATCTCTATAATTAGTTTTAAAAGTATAATATATTTTTTAAAAGGCGAACAAAGTTTAAGCAAAGGAATATAATTTATAATAAACCCTCTATAAATGTAAAGCTACTATTTTAAATTCTAGAATATCTAGGGAAAAGCTACTATAATACCACTAAATAATCTATTATAACGTTACTATTATAGTATAATAAGAGTACTATAAGTTCGTAAAGTAATAGAAAAGAGACACGTGTAGGTACACGTTATATATTATGCTATAGTCGCTTTCGTAATTCTCATTTTAGCGTGTAGGAATTGGAGAATCCAAGAATACACGAAAAGCCTCTTCTTAATATATGAAATTACTCGTATGATATAGAGCAAGCCTAGAGATTTTATCCAAGGCGCATGAATCTACGAACCAGTCGGCTCACCCAAAGAATAAACAACATCAGTACAGCCACTGCGCCCGGCGGGACTCCAGCTACAACCAGAGGTACGCCCAATTCAACAGCCTCTTGTCTCCTCTCTTCCTCCGCTGCCAACCTCATCTCTCTCTCTATCTCCCTCCGTCGCATATCCTCCAAGCGGTCCAGAAGTACTCGACATTCCTCTTGTAACTGTGCCCGCAGGCGTCGGATTCTTTGGACATGTGCGCGCAGCTAAGGAAGGGTGGAAATTAGTAAAAGAAAGCCAAGAAGCGCGCTAGGAATCATATGTACTAACCATTTGGTTTGCCTGGTGTGCATCCATTTTTTTTCATTTGAAAAATCTCAAGCAATGGTTGTGTGCGCAAGAGATCTGCGGAATCAAGAGTCCTGAGGCTCTAATTTTAATATTACTCGAGCAACCTTGATGCCGCCGAGTCACTCCGTCACAAGGCTGAAGCCTCACGATGCTTAAGCCTAAGGCAAACGCGACATTATATAGTATGCATATCTAATTTTCTTTGTGGCCTGTCTTACGTATATCTTTCTGCCAAAATTGCGTGGAATTTAGTGGATTGTGCTAACCGACTTTGTTTACTTTACCCCTTTTGTTTCGCGTCAGGTAGCCGACGACCGAACTTTTCCCGACATCACCAAAATCTCTTACAATAAAGTAAAAGTTGTCTTTCTTCTCACCCGTGTTACTGTGAAGTATATTCTTGTGAAATTAAGCTCTTTTTTGGATCAAATCCATTGAGAAGTTGCTACCCCAATAGGTACGCAGCCCTTAATTTATAGTTATGCACCTACGATAGTCTAGGAAGGCTAACCGACTACAAGTTGGAGATACGAAATGCCACACTAAATATACACAAATATATGTATCCAAAGAGTAAGCCTGCCGCACCTTCCCATATAGTATGCCACTAATCCTCTTCCTAGCCCATTGTATCTCCGCCATTAAAGGGATCCTTTGTTGAATTCGCGGTACTTCTGCCATATATGCCAACGAGGCATTGTCGATTCTGCACTGGTCGAGATCAAAATGCGGACATGATTTCAAATACAGGGGGGATCTGGAGCAATGATTGCGCTCGGATTATGAGATGACATGGTATCTCCGTTGGTGGATGTAGGGGGAGGGGCAGTTCTCGGGGGCCTGCGCATTGAGTCAGAACAGCAATACAGTGGGAACGTAGTCTGGAATTTGCACATGCGTACCAATCTTCATACCGTATCACAAAATGCTTGTAGATTTTAGGGAAATGTCGAAGCTCAGGAACGGTGTGAAATTACAGGACCTACTCGCAATATGAATTTGTCGAGTCACGCTAATTAGCCGCAGCCTGACGGAGTCATTCGCTTCACCATGAAATCTTCAGCAGAATAAACTTTCCTGGCATCGTGTCGTTTCTTCATCAAAATAAGCGCCAAAATGACCTTAACAAGTCCTTTAATATACGTAGAGCCCCAAAAACAGGATTTCTCCAACGTAGGACCTCCTCCATCTCCACCAAGTCCCTTTCTGGCTCGTCAATCAGCGCGCGCAGCTCCCTCATCTCTCTCGCCGCCTCCCTCAACTCCTCCCCCAATTCTATGACTTCTCTCTCCACCTCCATCGTTGCCTCTCTGAATGCCACTTCCTCCTCTCTCTCCTCTCGCTCGTCTTCCTCCCATTCGGCCACCAGTGCCCGTTGATTCTCCTCCGCTTGTCTCTGTTCTTCCAGATATTCCTCGTCCTCCGTTCTCAATCTTTCCCTTGTCTCCTCCAACCACGCTTCTTCTGCTTCCCAGTCGATTTCATTTGTGCCACCAGAGGCTGTGTGCTTCTCTGACTGTAAAGAATATATTAGCACAGGAAGGAAGACGCCGATGACTCAAAGCCATTGATTTAAGTAGATTTACCTGATTTTTCATCCTAATCTTGTTGCCAATTCGATTTTTGCTTCGTTTTGAAGGAGATAGAGTTTCGATGGAGTTTATTTGGACGTCCTCAAACCGAGGAGATTCGATCTAGGTGAAATTACTTCTGTAGGTGGAAATTTTCACCCCGCCTCCTTTTTTCCTGGCACTTCCGCTCGCTTCTGCCACGTACTACACCCTGATCATTCTAGGGCCCTGTCTATGATTGTCAATTATGAATTATTGTGTTACCCAGGTTCGAGAATCGAAGTCATGTAGGGTTCTTTACAATAGTTGAGAATCATAGAGAAAGAAGGCAATTTCAAAGGATTATTACGTCGAGTGGTACTGCATGGAACCGGAAAGATAAAATAAAAGCTCAAATTTCAGGTGAGACAGTAAGCCATAAGTTCAGAAGAATAAAGCAAGTCATTCACAGTAACTTAAAAGTCATGTCCGGTACTGCATCAATGGAAATATGTTTTGGCGATTTGGTTCTTGATCTACTTTATAAGTCATAACTCTTCGTGGCATGCCTGTAGTACCTCATATTGAGGTCAGCCCAATAACCATAACGCATATTTAACGGTTTTGGTGGCTGCAAAAGTAATTCTGAGAGTGACGGGCCAGGTTTGGATGCAGCTCGGTACTTGGGATTGTTCACAGAGAACAGTTCATCAAATCGGCCAGTCCAATCATAATTGGATCAGTGAGGCTAAACTACGGAGAACAATCACTCGATACTCACTTTGTGACTAGCGCCAAAAGATTGAGAAATACTTAGCTCGCTTCCCACCTGGGTTCATCCTCTTGTTCTCTCTCTGCGCAACCAACCTTCCTTGAGAATTACATAGAGCTTAGAGGTCGCAATAACATGGTGGGAATCCTTCTCTTTCTTCTGCTACTCGCTGGCATTTTTGCGAGCACGTTTGCACAGGTCCCAGACAGAAACAGTATGGCTGGTAAAGCCGTCCAGTGTTTCGGGATCGCGGGGGACTTGTACCCAGATTTCGTCCGTAAGTAGATTCGTTTTCGATCTTTAAGACCTGGAGTTTTTGATATGGGTAGCCACTGATCTGAGAGCAACCAGAATGTCCAGGATCTTCAGCATGCTGTAGAAGCCACGATGCCTGTCTCGCAAACCGTTTATGTCGCTACAACGACAGAGACGAACCAAGCAATATCTTTTATCGCGGGCCTTGCAGCTCTATGTCATGGCAACCTGAAATATGCGCAGCTATCTGCCTTTACTGTGAGTAGGACCTATGGACATCTGCTGGCGATGATATGAGAAGTACTGACAGGCAATATGAAGCTGGTACTCCTAACCGACCTCCTCAATACGAACCTCGCATCACACAATGTTCGGACAGAACGTTCTGCTGCGACACCGATCAAAAATGTTGCGAACAGGGAAGAGGCCATATCTTGAATGCGAATGGGAATGAGATTGGGGCTATGGGGCTTACCACGGTTAGACATATCTCCATATCCTCCTTCATTTCTGCAGCGAGAACGAAGGAAGTGGCAGTTCCTTCGGAGTTTTCAACAGCATTGAAATTTGCACACAAAGCACCGGTTGCAAGATCAAAAATAGGATCCGGAAACTGGACCTACACAGCGACGTTACCGACTTTTGTGACCTCAACCAGAACAGCGATGTCACGAATTATATCGGTTTCAGTCGACAATATCAGTCTACATTCAGTTTCATCGATATCAACTTCAACGTCGGGGAAGAGTCTGTCAGGTTGGGCTGAAAGCATGACTCTGCCTTTGGCAAAGCCACGAGATTCATCAAGCTCGAGGCTTACGTCGCAAATAACAGCAGAGTCCTCAATATCGACTTCGCAAAAGATAACGTCAACTCCACCCAGCCTGTCTCAAACCCCAACACCACCGACGGGTCCTGTGGCTCCAACTACCCTGCCAAATCCTCCAACACCACCTACACCTCCCATGGCTTCAACCCCACCAACTCCTCCAAGACCATTGACGCAACTCTCAATCAATTCTCCCAATTCTGCTGTTTTGACTACTTTCTCATCTGCTCTGTCTTCTCCGGTTAGGAAAGTTGTGATGCACAACAATGGCGGAGAGCTGACAGAGCAACCTCAGGCGCCGGTATCTCAAAAGTCTCCCCCACCACCAGAATTGCCCTCTTCCACTCACTCGGTCCTTCAACCGGTCGAATCAACGCCATCATCAACAGTACAAACAACGGCTATCCCAGCTCCAACAAGCAGTCTCTCCTTAATATCCACCTTGACCTTTACATCACTCCTACCGGGGCAGACGACTATCAACCATCCCAAGACCACAGAGGTTGGGTCATCAACTGAGCGAGCTGCAAATGCCTCAAGTTATGTATTCGGAGTCCTCACTTCTATCATACCCTCGCTTGAGACAAACCCCCCGAGCAGTAGTGACGATAAATTGGCGCCTGGTGCTAAGGTAGCTATTGGAATCATCGTACTTTTAGCAACATTTGCAATAGCAGCATCAGGATTTTTCTTGTGGAGAAGGAAGATCAAACGGCAAGAAGAAAGTATCAAATTCGCTGTAATGCCCGGAGAGGAGAGGAGCAATAAGAGGGATACGACGTTTTCTTTCCTGAGTGGAATTTCTCGTAAGAGGGAATCAAGGAGCGAGAACTTGCACAACGAACATATAAAGGCTATGGAAAATGTGATATGAAGGAAGGGAAGTTGTGGCAAAGAGGAGCGTGAGAGATAAGTGGGTCCAGTGAAAGAGGGAATGTCAGATGTGTCACTTCACTTTTTCTTTTCTTACGCTTGTTAAAGCAATGGTATCATTCTTGCTGGCTTCAGGATGGAGTATGGGCTGGATCCTGAAGATCAACAATTGATAGTTTGAGGTTTCAAAGGAAATGATTATAGGATTGCATTCGACTAACACTAAGTCGATATTCGAATATTGATAGGCACGTGAATCAATTGATTGAGATGGACATAATGGTTTGAAGTGGATAAAAATGATGTCAGAAAAGTACAAGTGTGTGAATGTCCATCAACTATTGAAGCAGTTGACAACAAATAGTCGAAATAAGTGAAGCGTGAAAGGGGATTTTGTTGCATATCGTACACGCCAAATCTGGTATAGCTCCTTCTACTGAAGCAGATGTCGATGGCGAATATTGCCGATGGTCTGGTCGCACGCGCATCTCCTAACTTGGAAGCATAAGGAGTTTGACAACGAGCCCTCGACTTATGAGCTATCGGGGTGGGTAAGGCTGCTATAGATGTAGCGGTTATTGTGTGAGCAACTACCGGGAGAGTTGCAAACTATCAGAGTCTGTGATTGGTTGCCTATAATAAGCCACATTAAGCTGCAGGTGTTCGCCACCTTCCTTAGATATTTGGACTACAGAACGAAGCATTTTCGCGTTCAGTAGCTGAGCCCCTGATTTTTTGGGGGTTTAGATGGGTTGATTCTGATATTTGTAGTAGGCACGATAGAGTTGCGAGTAACAGGTTGTAAGCGAGAACAAGCGAGGCAAATACTTCTCCCAGATAAAACTACTATTTTGCAGCACAATAATGGCATATCCATACGATAAGGTGGTGTTATAGATTTTGTTTGATGAGAGCATGAAGGACGGAATATGAGTACTTTCATATTTGAGGATCGGGCTCAGGGCTCTAAACACGAAAGCTGCTAGCGACGGCTAGTCCGAGAGTCACGGGGGAACAAAAGAGTAAATTTCAGTGTTATACAGAATATTTATTCAATAAGACATTATACTTTGATCTAAGTTTCGCAGGATCTATTCTTTAGCAAATGTATTCCAAGAGGTCATGAAATATTAATAAGCAGCACCAATCTACTGGTAGATATAGCAGAAAGGTCCATCAATGGTAGAGGAGAGCTCCCCAATTGTGAAACGTCCTCCACTATAGCCGAGATCAACAATATCGTCCACTAAAACAGTCAGTATTTGTCATTTTGAAAACTATAACGCGGGAAGTCACAATGAGTGGGCAGTTTCTGATAACAGGAGTTGGGATATACTTACAGTTACCGTTTTCAGAAGGGGGCTCTGCAAATCGGCAGTTAGCTTAAAGTCATCATATTTATTCTCGCCGAATTGACTTACGGTTCATGATTGTTCTTGTATCGGAGATTTCCTGGACCCTCTCAGTCTGGTTCTGAGCTTGCCAAATTGACCAAACACGATCAACAGCTGCATGGTGGAAGTGGAAACTTGGGTCCAAAGCAGAAGTCCAGAGATCATCTTGAAGACCACCTTGCGAAAGGTGACCATTTCCGTGAAGTCTTTCTCAGTGTCAGTATCCAAGGACAGATCATTATTGATAGATATCACCTACCCGTTACTAACGCTCATCTGGGTGCTAAGGCTCTGCAAGTCGGGCTGCTCCAGAACGGATTGAATGGCTCCGTAAGTAAGACTTGTTGCAACGGCGTCGTTTCGGAAGTTTCGTGACAGGCAACGTGGGTTGTACTGGAGACCATCTGCAATCGGAGCGCCGCGAGGACCAAGGTTGACACTCATGTTGACGAAAGGGCCAGAAGTGATGCAGCCGCCTCCGGTTCCATCTGTACGGGTAGTATTGACAGGCACTGGAGTTGGTAGAATGACGAAAGAGATGACATTTTCAACGTGAGCACCATTTCCACCAACGGACAGATCCGAGCCGTCGAACAATGGGTTTTCTTCAAGAGTATCCGCGTGGGCCCAATCCCAGTATGGCTGAGTGCCAGTGTAGCTACACTCATCACGTAGAGCTTTTTCATAAGACCAGGTAAAGTATCGGTGGAATGCGAAAAAGTTTGAGGTCCAATGAATGGAGGCAGTCTGGTTCAAGTGGGTGGCACCTTAATAAAGTTTTGATTAGCGAGAGAATCCAAGAATAGGTGTTCGTCAGAAAAGAAAAGTCTCTGCAGCTCGAGGCAAAGGCACCTAAGTACCTATAGTGGGCAACATACCGAAATCATCAAAACGACTGCGGACACCTGGAACCTCGTCTAATGGCGTGACTGGAGCCTTTTGCATGAGACATTGGACGGCGGCGATATATTCCCTCTTGTTCTCATCGGACAGGTCACCCCTGAGAAGAGTCAGCATTTTCCCTTTCTCAAATTGACATTCCATCAACCACACACCAGGTCTTGCGAACAACAACATTTTCAGAAGTACAGCTCGATCCAGTTCCAACACGCGATTTCAAGATGTCCATGATGTTGGCGTTTCCATTATCGACAATTGCGTTGAGCTCTGCAGGAGGAGTGAAAACTGTGGCTTCAACGGCCGCAAATATCGCACCTGCAAGAACGGAAAGGATGGTGGAGGACTTCATGATGAACCTAGAGAATCGGTGTATGGAAGAGCGAAAGAGTGAAAGCTCGGTGGTGGGAGAGCTTGGAAGGGAACGACATGATTACTTTATACTGTTCTGCCTCCGGCAAGAATGGGAGTTCGGAGACTTTTCTGTAGGTTACCCGGAGGACATCCGCATGTCTACTTCGTGATACTCGAGTAATGCAAATTAAAAATGTACTTAGTGCGAAGTAGGTGCAAATACCCCTACCTCAATTGCTGGAGGATTGATCTCCCACCGGGTGACATCCAAACTTAGATCTGGAGACCTACTCCGAAGTATAATCTACCTTAGTAAATCATTTCTAAGGCGGATACACGGGGGGAGTGGTGGAGTAGCAAAAGTTGGCAACACCGCCCTAGGGCAGAAGGGTCCGACCAAGAGAAGCTGCCGCTCATCCCATTTTTATATTCATAAGAAGGCTTCTAGCCACTCAGAGCCTACAGATAACCCTTATTTTTATCCACTCTGCCACCTAGGGCTTATCTACTACTACCTTCCAGCATCCAATTTAGAGACGGTTTACCACGTAACCAAGGTAGGGTGGCGACGGATGGAGCATCAAAACAGGATGCCAATCCGGGTGTATTCCGGCCTCTGCTACGTGGTGCTTTAATGTTACATTTTCCTGTTTACACGGACACATTCTTGTTTTTGTACTACTCGAGGACAGGTAATAGATGCGAGTGAATAGTGCTACTAGGGTGCCCTGACTTACGTCATTATTCTGAGTAAATCTGTACTTCCACTTAATGATTCTCTCTTTTACTTACTCTTCAAGGTCGGTTACCCCTTTCTGAGTAACCAGGTCATTTCTTTGGCCTAGAAACTTTTGTTTTTGCCAAGCTACAATTTCTTAGGAATAGACGTGGATCATTATTAAGGGCGGTTTGCGTGCTAGAGAACTAAGTCTGGCGGTTTTTTATGACGTGAACTCTGGATTTGAAATACAGCACTCCTACTGGTTCTAACGCTATCCACACTCATCTTAAATTCTATCCACTCTTGTACACTCAGACCTACAGGTGTGGATAGATACTACTAGGGTGTTATACTTCTATTGTAACTTCGGCCTTTTCCCAAATGCCTTCACGATGTTTTTCTCATGACACATTGACACCAACTTCCATACCCTGGGCATAAAATTGAAAACAGAACTGAAACTCCGGGGATACACTTCGCCCTAGACGCAGCGTCGCATTAAGCGTATGAATTCAGTTTTCGTTGGACCCATGGCTACTTCGTAATAATCTTATGCATACGCCAAGGATTACATGACCCACCTACGACCAACCTACACTTCTGAGAAGAGTCAGATTCCAGGACAAAAGTTTGTACTATTTGTTGTAGAAGAACTCAACCTACACTTCTGAGAAGAAGAGTCAGATTCCAGGACAAAAGTTTGTTCTATTTGTTGTAGAAAAACTCGGTATCGAACCACGGATAGTGAATCTGAGACAGGAAAACTCATTTGTTCTGTACTTATGGTAAACTTATTTGTACGCCATAACCAGCCGAGAATCAGTTCCGGGTACTACAGTAACGGAAGGACCACCCATCTTGATAATTACCGTAGGGCTTGATTGAGGCAAAAAATAGCCGTGTATTACTTGATAACTTCTTAGCTTATACATTGTGAGAAGAAGTATCTGGCTTCCCCACAAAGCTTGATTGTTTATATGTTCGTCGTACTTATTCTATGATACTGTACCAATTTCGGACTACCGAGTAGCTTTATCATCTGCATACAGAAAAATCTCGATACTAGGATACGCGCTATAAGGATACCTCGGTTAAATCCTTAAATCCTCCGGTCCCGATTTCTTTTAGTAGGTTATAAGGATAACCTCGATTAAAGGATATCCTTAGATTTTTGAGGTCCCAAAAATTTATTAGTACCTAAAACAACCTTGCTTATATCCTTAGAAGTAATAAAATTCTCTAGAACTTAGTGAATTTATGTAATACCCTAGAATTTTTAGTACTCAACTAGAACTTGCTAATAAGAATTAAACAATTATATATAATATACTTATATTAATAGACAGCTATGTTATATATCTTTAATACTTTAATACATAACCTCGTCGTCGCCTATGCCAAGAACCTTGTCATAAGGATAACCTCGGTTATATCCTTACGAATACTAGCAAAACCCATATCCTAGTATCAAGGTTTTTCTGTATATAGATTCTTATGGAGGTCCCACAGAAGAAATACAGAAACCTAGCCCGGGTTTTACAAAATTTGTGTAAGGACTCCACTACCCTCAGTATCAATTTATCCATGCCACAACTATGACGAGGACTAAGGCAATTAAGCTCGTGGGTACATATCGGATCCGCCCTCCGCGGGCCGACCCGAACTGTAGTACTTCAATAGGTAAAGAGTCTGGTCAGCTCGGGCCCCCTTGTCACTTTTTGATATACCCCACATGAATTGGACAATCCAATTGGCTGAGAGGGTTATATTGTGGGATTATACCCTGCCTATAACAATTCGTATACAGGGGAGGGGCAGACGCAATCTGTTCAGACCCCCTTTACCGCGGAATCGATGAATCGGTACAGTAGCCAGCTTACATAATGCACTACTCGAGTATAAACACACGCATTAATAATTGGCCCCGAAGGACTTTTGCGCACCTCGTCTACTACTAAAATACAGTACCACCAGGTACCCTCCCGGTGGACAAGATACAGCAAGATGTTTCGCGACCCTAGAAACTGTGGGAATAGGCAATTCACATGCAAAATACCTTGCAAAATGCCCTACAACACACTAGTAAGATACCCTAGATTCTTGCTACTTTTGCGAAGGGGCTCTAAGTGACAGTCTTGGCGCTGGATATACACCAAAAACCCATGCCAAGACTGCCACTTATCTTGTCCACCGGGAGGTACCGTACCTATATTTTCACTAATAGGGCCGGGGAGGAAAAGTTACGGTTAGTGGAATATGATTGTTGGTTGTTTTGTTCTATGAAAACAGGTAAGTGCCTCCGTTTTCTGGCAGTTGTACGGAGTAGCCCGTTGAAGTTTGCCACCATTTAATCGACTCCGATACCACGGTACATCATACTCAATGTACTTCTGCTTTCCCAGTTTTTTTAAGGTGGGTGATACAATCTCCGAAGACTAAAAGAGCTTGTCTACCGGTAGATCTGGGTTTTTGAGCTTCCCCTGTCAGGAACGATTTGCAACGATAGATATCGGAAGATGTCGTGCTAAACCTTGGAAGTGACCCACCCCCACGTTGTTGACCGCTTTCGTCAAAGCTTTGCTTGGAATTTGAGATTTACACAAAGCTAGCAATGAAAAAAGAAGCTTTTACATTTGTAAAGTGACGAGTATTATGAGGACGCAGTTCCCTGTTTTGTTGAACAAACGCAGAACCAGAAGGGGCTTTACCAGAAATTGACTACTGTAAACTTGGGATGAAAGGACCCCTATTGCTTCTTTGAATAAGTACCGTAGAAATGTTCGTACTTCTAATTTAAAGGAGTCAACGCAGAAGTTGACCCGTCTGACTTTACTTCGAAGCAAGATTTTAGCAATGCGGCGTAAGGGGGAATAAGCTTGAACTGTGGGATTTCGTCGGATTCTTTTTGAGGTTCCCTGAAAGTGGGGTTCAAGTGTCAACGAACACTTCCGCGCACATGGCTAACCAGCATTGCTTCAAATTTTCAAAAAGACGTGGAATTCTGAAAATATCCACAAACAATCAATTTCATACGCGGTACCTGAGTACCGCGTTTTTCTTCGAGTCCACAATGACTCCAAAGTTGGGTTGATCAACGGGAGGCGGGCGTAGCAAGCGAGTGGCTCAGTTGACACATGATTTCCAGAAGGACCAATGTGAATATTCAACCAAGCGAAGATGCGAAGTGGCCTATTCTCGAGCTACTGTAGAAATGAAGTACGGAAACCCTAACCTACGAAGTAAGTTTTCCTATTACACTCTAGCTTGGGAAAAGGTCCGCCAGTGTCTGCCGAATTGCGATTTTGCATTCTCGTTGCGGGGCTTCAGGAATTTGCAACCGAGTAAATAGCGGCTCTAACTATTTCACAACCTTCGCATGCATTTCTCAATCACGACCTCCAATTTAAATCTGGTCTTGGAGTTCGGATTCAAGGCCGTTTGTGGAATGAAACCCTCCCTCACGGTTTCATCTTTTGGCATTATTCCTGATCTGTTGATTGAAGAGAATTTCTGCACCTTCGTACGAAGTACAAGATAAGTACGGACCTCTTCCTTGTGTGTTGGCAAGTGTTGTGGGCAGTATCTAGGACCCAGTTTCTTGAATATGGAGCAGCATCTGCCCCGTCGTACCTAATACGAGCGGACACTCAGCCCACTATTCATGCACATGAGTGGATTGCACAAGTTCTCTTGAACCGCATGGCAAATGGTAATTTGGCATCTAGAATGCACAAGTTTTTTCCTTCGGGTTTATGCTTGTATTCTGTAAGAACTCGTGAAGCCATTTCACCATGTCGTTATTTATGTTACTCAGCAAGAGAGAATTGGCTAATTTGTAGTCTTACATGTCAAACTCGTAGTCAAGTCTGGCGGTACCAATTTGATTCGATCATATTTTCTGCACCTCAAATCCCTTTACCATTCTAAAGAAAAACCTGGATATAAGGATATTCGTGGGGGCTGGTGGGGGCAGGTTTCGTAAGGATATAATCGAGGTCCAGTATCCCTATATCCAGTATCCTTATATCCAGTATCAACACACACC